CTCCGTACTGCAGAAGCCTGATAATCACCCATTCATGCAGATCAGGTGTGTTTGAGCAGAGAAAAAAATAAAACATGCAGGGCTACGGCCCTCGAGGACCAGGATTGCCCACCCCTGGTTTAGATAAAGGAAATTGTCCAAGGCACCACAATAATGCATTGTGTTCACGTGAACGCATGCTTTCTTAAGTAAATGTAATATTATAAGCCTCTTTTTAAAAACAATAACTTTTAAATTTTTTTAATCATAAAAAATAAAAGCACCACTTGAGAGACATTTGAGACCCACCCCAAGCGGTCCACCCCACAGTTTGAGAATTACTGTATAAAGGTGACTTTAAATCATTCGATGTTACTTATTAATTTTCTTTATTAGTATTTTTTTTAGCACATCATCTGTTCAAATGTTGCCACTAACAGGTATTGGTATTTTGCCTTTTGTTGGTATTGATTAATTTCTTTTCAATTTCTTTTTTTTTTAAACATGGTGACAATATGAAGTTGTGGAACTGTCTTTTTTCATTGTTTTAATTTTCTTTCTTCTATTGCAGATGGGCCACGCCACCGCTGAAGGAATGTGATATCTCACTGAGGCTGTGGACAGATCACTAAACCCCGGTGCCAGCTGTACTTTTTTCACTTCACATGGAACTATTTTTTTAAAATTAGTTTGATTGAATTGCTGTCACCTGCCAGTTAATGCACCTTTCTAACATGGATACACTTTCCCAGGATTCAATTCTGGAGTGCCAGATTTGCTTTAACTACTACAGCCCCCGGCGGCGACCTAAACTCCTGGACTGCCGACACACATGTTGCTCGGTGTGTTTGACTCAAATGCGCAGCACCCAAAAGGAGATCCGCTGTCCCTGGTGCCGCAGCGTCACCAGACTCCCTCCGGGCCTTCCTGTGTCGCAGCTCCCGGACGACCCGGACATCATCACGGTCATCGCCATTCCRCACGCCTCCGAGCACACGCCCGTCTTCATCCGCCTCCCCAGTAACGGCTGCTACATGCTGCCCCTGCCTGTCACTAAAGAGCGKGCGCTCGGTCTGCCCGGGGATCTGGGGTGTCGCTTCCTGCCTGGCGGCCAGCAGAAGGGGGTGACGGTGGTGACGGTGCCGGAGSAGCAGCCTCTGGGTCTGGCCATGGGGCTGGAGAGCATGGGGCTGGAAGGGGGCGACGGGGAGAGGAGAATGACTGGGCCGGCGGGCGGAGGGAAAGGTTCTACGTGGTCCGGCGTGTGCACGGTTATTCTGGTGGCGTGTGTGCTGCTCTTCCTCCTGGGGATTGTGCTTCACAACATGTCCTGCATCTCCAAACGCTTCACTGTTATTTCCTGCGGCTGAGGAACGCTGCTCAAACTGTTGTGTACCCCTCCTTGTTGGCCCGACTTCTCAAAGATAGACTAGATAGAGGGGGCTTAACTCATGTTGTGGGCATTTCAGGAAATAACAGAGCCAAACCAAGTGTCTCAGATAAAGACAAAGAGGGCACAGAATGAGATTTACAAATTGATCTGCCATTGTTTTTTTTTTTTTGTGGACTGAAATTAAAATGAATTTTTACTTTCTTCTCCTCCAACTGGCCCTGAAAACTCCTGCCCCTCAGTGATTTTAATGTTTTCTGAAAGAACGTTTTGAACATCACTGCACTGTTTCTGAACAGTTGATGTTTAATCTGTGGTTTGTAGAAGTTCATCAGTTATCGTAGTGCTTGGCTCARAGCGTCATATCTTCAGCTGGTCCAAAGGAGTTAACTGTGCAGAATCTACTCCTTCCTGAGATCATTCGTCTGTGGAACGGAAATGGTTTTAACATTTATTTTTCAGTCMAATGAACTTGTTGAAATGATTGTAAGTGAAGTGTAATGTTCAAACGCACCAATATGTACAGCTGAACCACACACAGGTAGTACTGAGTTGCTTTAGGATAATAGATTTAAGAGTTAGAGCAGAAACAGTCTGCTGAGGACTTCATTGGATTTTGAAAAAATCATTTAATTTGTTTTTTAAGTACAAAAACAGTGTGTTCCAGTCTCCTAAATGTAAGGTCTTGATGTGTTTTTCTGTTATCTGTATGTTTTTGAATCCTCAAAACAGCCATTGTTCTTAAGCTGTCAAAACAATTTTTTATTCAAATAAAAATAGTCTTAAATCTGTTGTTTTTTTCATTCAKTTTTAAAGACAAACCATCAAAAAGATCAATTGAAGCAGCAGGGGATATTTTTTCCTCTTTTGTTAATTATTACAAACTTACAGATTTAAGATTGATCACAAAGTCAGATTTTAAATCATGTCTTACTACATTTTTTAGCAATTTTATATTTATTTTTCATCTCATGTCTGAGTTTCTGCTTCTCTTGTATGTTGTTATTAAAATGTCAGACACTGTGTTGTGTGAGTGTGATGTCCTCCTCCTTTACAACTAAAACATTCTCTCTTCAGTCTTGCTTGTATGCATTTAGAAAGATCAAAATTGAAATACATATTAGGCCTTGGCTTGATGATTAGACTAAATCCTGAAACTTTATTAGAAAATATTTTTATTTACGTTTTGGCATCACATTACACAGTACCAGGCGTATTTTTAAACAAGTTATACACTGCTCAAAAAAATAAAGGGAACACTTAAACAACACACGCTAACTCCCGATCTTAATCAATGAAATATTCACATTGAGAACTTTGTTCTGTACAGAGTTGAATGTGCTTCACAAAAGTTTGATTTACTTGGACTTAGCGTGCGTTGTTTAAGTGTTCCCTTTATTTTTTTGAGCAGTGTATTTTACATCCATCAGCTTCATTCCTTCTCTTCACCCACTTTTCTTTCCCGGGTTGTGGGGAATCACCTATGTCACAATTCCATCCCCAGRCTTATTTAGACCAAATTAGATGATCCTGCAGTGGAAGTTACAAAAGGTTCTGTTCCAATTCTGTTTAGTCCCAACTTGTTCCAGTGGGAAAAAAATCTTTGCAGGGAATAATAAGTACCGTCTGGGATGGGTGGTTCCAAAGGACAGATGCATTTATCTTCCCTGGAAGAGAAGCTTTAAGGTCCTGACCATCAATAAAGATGCTGAAAGTGAACTTGTCTTCAATGTTAAGTATACCATCAGCCATGCTGAATGAATCAGAAATTTCTCCAAAAGACTTGGCAAGCTTTTTGTCATTAACTACGCTTACTGCAGTGTGTCCAAAAAAAATACCCAACTTACATCAACAAGCAAGAAAAATGGCAAGTGGGACTTTAGTATTGTGGGAACCCCGTCACATCAGGGGAGTGCACACGCAACAAGATWTGCAAGCGTATGAGTGCACAGATTTTCATCCTGCTCGTTTTAGGTTGGTTATTGTTCACAAAGTGTAACATTTCTGGAACCCAGTAGACTAATGTCAATGCAAGTGTATGTGTTTTAATATACTGTATGAATTATAAGTCAGAAATGCATGTTTCCAACAATAATCCAGCAAATGTGGTAAAGTTCAGATTTCCCAGCTTTTCACTAGTCTTGAACGCAGCATTACAAAATGAAATTCACAGGCGAGCAGATCTGTGTCTCCTGCATTCGCTCAAATGTTGATGCATTCAACATTCCTGTACAGCTTACCATCTCACCAAATCACCAAACCAAAAGTCCTTACAAAARGTAAGAAAATTTGTGTTACTTCTTAGCTGTAATTATGTCTTTAGAGAGCCTGTTAAAGTCTCTTTTAAATGGTGCCACATTTGTAAGGAACATGCATTTGTGGGAYTGCATTTACARTATTTTTCAGCTGGATGSTGAAGACACAAAGTGTAAGGAAGTGTATTGATTTTCTATTTTAACACCCCATAATAWAGCCAGTGATCATGTGCCAAGGTATTTCTTTAAGAGGGAAAATATGACCTTCAGCAGTACTTTTGTGCACCGGTACTGCTTGTTCATCGATATTTTCATCAAACACAGTTTCTGCTTTTTCCTTGATCTGCATCAGACCTATGTTGACCTGAAGCCTTACACTCCAGCGCTGACCACCAGCAGCCCACATGTTATTGACTCTTCATTTAAATACAGAAACCAGTGGACGTATGTGCTCAACGGTGCAATGGTGCATAWTTATTTGTGTGAGAAATGGGTCGGTACAGGTCAGGCGTGGGCAGTTGCTGCAGCATCTCTGTAATTGAAGACTTTATTGATTTATTTGCTTCTGAATATTTTTCTGCAGAGTTGAATGTTTCTTGTTCTTTTCCCCACTCTTGCATGTCAAAGCAAACAGTTTGTTTTCGCTGTGCATAAAGTTTTAGCCTCTAATTTTAGATTTAGTTGCCATGTCTGATCTATGAATTNCACACACACACACACACATTCGGAAATCACACCAGGTGGTTTATAGTTTGTCTTTATAGGATTTATTCGACTGTTTTTATTAGCTTGACTGCAACAGTTGTAAGATGGCTGTATTTTCTTATAGCCTTAGTCAGCTGATCCTCAGCGGAGCAGTGTAATGCAACCACTTTCTCACACAAACATGAAATTCTGAGCAATCACTAAATACTTAGAGCATACCAGCTCTGCCAGTGGGAGGGCATGAAACCGATGCAAGAACAAACCTCCCAAATTTTTGTCAAACAACTGCAACGATAAGAAAAACAACCTGATGTCTTGCTAAGTGTCAATTCACTTTAAGTGTTCGTAGCACTTGCTGCTTTTCAGGTTGTAGAAAACTCACTAACTCTCAGCACTTGAGGCTGAAATACTCTTTCTTGCAGAATGTGTTCAAACAGAAGTCAKAGGAAAACGGATGAAAACAAACACCAAGAAAAAAAAATACTGTAATGGGATTTCTATCTTTATTTTTTACAATGTTGGTTTAATTATGTTTATTAAGGTTCAATAAATATTAACTAAAGTGGTGCAAGGTTTAAGTTATTAAAACTTCCCCTTCAACAAACATGATTTAGTTTCTGTTAATTTTAGACTTAACAGCACTTTATAAATATTTTGGCGTTTTTATATGCACATATTTTACATCTGTTTAAACAGTAGCTGCTTGTTCTAGGTGCCAACAAGAATAATAATTGATTTAATTTGGTTAATTGAATCAATGCTTCCTAAACAAATACTTGTCCATGCATAACACATCGAGAGAAGAATTAGTTTTGCAGGCTTTAATACAACACAAGCAGTGCTTTATTTCAAATTAACAATATTTCAGCTTAAATTCAGCTTATCTCTTTTTGGGGTATTATGATTATAACACAGTTGGTGTTTTCTGTTTTCTAATAGCCTCCACTGATAAAAGAAATTTGTGGCTTTATTTTAAAAAATCCCATTCTTCACAGTTGAATAATCTTATTGGCACACAGCCTGTATTTGTTTACCCTCAGGAATCTCATTTCCGCTCAAATATTTATTGATTTTCTGTCACAGATGTAATTAACGCTCCCCAGGGGGGCAATTGCAGTCAGCTTTGCTGCAGCATAACACCTTCATTCTCCACAAGCAGCTTCAGTTGTACGTGACTGAACTGTGYGGCTACAACTAACTTTAGCCTGCTTTCATTTTTTCTCCTTAATGACCACAGAACGCTTTGATCTCCAAATATAACACACCTCTTTAAGTTTTCTAACAACTTCAAGCTTTTTAATTATATTTTCCAGCATTTGAAAACAAGCATGTTGTATATTTGTTTGCAGGTAAAACTTTATACAGATACAGAAAACAAAAATAAAAGTTATGAATGTTGAAACATGCATTGTTAAGGATTAGGGAAGTTCTTGGATCTGACAAACAATTACTTCAGATAAATGTTATATAAATGTTACATTATTTTACTTAAAGAATGCATGCTATAAAATGCTTCTTTTCCACATTTAAAKCATTCAGCTGGGGTTTAGATAAATTGGAACAGCAATGCTTTGGTCTGAATTCCTCCTTACTGTAACACCATAAGCCCCTCTTTCAYCCCTTTTCTGAGGTGTGTCTCAGATCAACTTGTTTTGAGGCTGTCTTTTTAAACCCAAATAAGGCACACCACACCCCGTCACCCTCCAGCTTCCAGAGTGGTTCATTCTAGATTGATAGAGGGGTTTATGAATAYATAGTGGTGCAGGAACTTTTAATTTACAAATTAATTAAAAGATGTCACCAAGGGAAGACTTAKCCATACAGCCTTACATGTTGGAGCCAGAGCCAGAGGAGGATGAAGACGATGAAAATGGTTAGTTGGTAAGTCAAGACTTTGTTTGTCCGCCATCCGGTGTCTCGGCGGGGAGGCTGCGGTTCTCCACCAACACTTTTTATGGTGGGGATGGTTCGCTGCTGACCTCAACTCAGGATGTTGTGGGTCAGTGGGCAGAATACTTCGAAGACCTCTTCAATCCTACCGACATGTCTTCCCATGAGGAAGCAGAGCCTGAGGACCCTGGGTCGGACTCTCCAATCTCTGGTGCTCAGGTCAYTGAGGTGGTTAAAAAGCTCCTCGGTGGCAGGGCGCCGGGGGTGGATGAGAATCACCCGGAGTTCCTTAAGGCTCTGGACGTTGTGGGGTTGGGTTGGTTGGCGCACACTGGATCCCTTGGGGATCACACTTCTGAGCCCCCTGTTAAGGTCTATTTGGGGGTTCTGGAGAAGAGGGTCCATCGGATTGTCGAATCTCGGATTCAGGAAAAGCAGTGTGGTTTTCGTCCTGGTCGTGGAACAGCGGGCCAGCTCTACACCCTCAGGGTCCTGGAGTGTGCATGTTCACTGGTTGGGTGAACACCCAACCAGTCTACATGTGTTTTGTGGACCTGGAGAAGGAGTGTTTGACTTCGCCAAGGTTGCCCTTTGTCACCAATTCTGTTCAAAACTTTTATGGACAGAATTTCTAGGCGCAGCCAAGGTGTTGAGGGGATCTTTTTTTTTAACTCTTAAGGACAGAATTTCTAGGCGCAGCCAAGGTGTTGAGGGGATCCTCTTTGGTGACCTTAGAATCACATCTCTGCTTTTTGTGGATGATGCCGTCCTATTGGCTTCATCAGATCATGATCTCCAGTTCTCACTGGAGCGGTTCGCAGCTGAGTGTGAAGCGGCCGGGATGGGGATCAGTGCCTCCAAATCTGAGACCATGGTCTTGAGCTGGAAACCAGTAGTGTGCCCTCTCCGGGTC